GAAATCGAGACTCATCAGACCAGGCAACATTTTTCCAGTCTTCAACTGTCCAATTTTGGTGAGCTCGTGCAAATTGTAGCCTCTTTTTCCTATTTATAGTGGAGATGAGTAGTACCCAGTGGGGTCTTCTGCTGTTGTAGCCTATTCGCCTCAAGGTTGTGCGTGTTGTGGCTTCACAAATGCTTTATCTCAAATGTCTGACCCAAGATTTACAAAGAGCCCCAATGGATAGAGAAGGGGGTTTGAGATATTATTAACCGATATTGCATTAAAAATCATAATAATTAATAATCAATTAATTGAAAAAAGGGGGGGAAATAATCGACAGATTAATTGATTATCAAAGTAATAGTTAGTTGCAGCCCTATAATTAACCCATCAATAAATGATTTATATTTACGAAAGTATTATCATAATATGTTAAGACATGAAAATGCGAATGTGTCTATCGTTCTGAGAAGAGCCTCAGCGTGGTATGGTATTTAAGACTAGATGTACTTTGGTGGTAACTTATTTCACATCGACAGTAACTGTAAATAACTATGGTCTTTTCGATGGACCCATCTGACATAGTTTTGAAGCTGATTGAACCTGATATTCAAAATACTTTCTTTGTTCATTACTTTCCCCGAGCTGCCATCCGACTCAACACGTGTTAATGGCATCAAAAAAATTAGTGACGTTATAATGAATTCCCGTTGACACGCTATTATCGCGTTAACTTTGACAGCCCTAATTTCTACATTTCTCATATGCAAAAAAAAAAACTAAGAATGCATTATTAATGTCTGAACGATTGTCCGCTTTATATTGTAATTTTTACGTGCTTTTATCAAAAACAGTATAAGAAAAGTATAATGCTTAAAAATAAGGGTTAATATGGCTTTCACATCTGGCAAAGTGTGGCTTATATGCCAGCTAGCATTTCCCTGAACCTTCTGCACCCATCTCTCCGCTCAGGACGCCCACGGTCCAGCGCAGGATGGCCCAGTGGAACCAGTTGCAGCAGCTGGACCCCAGATACCTGGAGCAGCTGTACCACCTGTACAGTGACAGCTTCCCGATGGAGCTGCGGCAGTTCCTTGCCCCTTGGATCGAGAGCCAGGACTGGTGCGTACCGCTCATCACAGCGATGATTGAAGGGTTTGAATTGGCGCATCTGTTCCTCCTGGATTGTTCAGTGTTATTATTTGTATAATGTGCATTTTTTACCATTTCTATTTAGCAAATGCTTTATTGAAAGGCACACAATTGAGATAGCGGCGTCAGCCAGTCCCTGGAGGAGGAAACTTGAACAAGCGACCTTCTGATTATGGGCAGAACTACACACTGCACAATAAAGTTCTGAACACTTTATATAAGTAGTCAGACGTCAGAATAAAAATAAATATTTTTAACAGCTTGTCATGGGCTGTTACGCGAACTGTGATCAGAAGGCTCATCTTTACTGTAAAGTTTCACCCTATTACATAACCAGCTCACATTTCTGTGGTGAGAAAATGCATGTCCGGGAAAAGTCTTTTAAAGCACTCTGTCTACCTTCTCAGATGATTAGTACCATAGGTTTGTCAACCATGCAACACAACCATATAAACAATAATCATATCATATGACTTAAGTTCTTGTATATTAGTCATTCACCATGAGTGTAGCATAGATGTTTCGGCACTAGGCCTTCATCAGGGTGATAACTAAGTACTGCTAGGTTATGTTGGCACCCAATCAGTGCTCAGTGCTCATGATTAATTAATTTACAGCTACACCTCCACAGCGGCTGCCCATTTGTGGGCATTATTCAGTATTCCGGCATTATGTCATGACGTTTAATTGCGAATTTATGTGCATCAGTATGTTACCTGTCTTGATGTCTTTCTGACATATTTTTGGGCAAGGACATTGTAATACATAAATAGCATTTTTCTAGACCCTATTGTTTATATTATTGTTTATTTGATTTGTGCCACATTCACTCCGTGATACCTTTGGGTGGACACCTACCACATTTACTCCTGACTTTACAGAAACCATCAAAACCTAAAAATAAATTTGCATAGATTTTAATCATCTGTTTCCTTGGAATCTTCGGTCATGTATAAATATAGGTTATGACTGCAGGACAGTCACTGAAAGTCATGGTACAGGATTTGCACTCCAGGAACTAAAACTGCGGGAGTGCTTTTAATACCTATGAGGAGTTAGTGTGGATTCCTAGCATACTCAACAATACAGTTCTAAAGTTTCTTATAGGAAGTTTCTTGTCTAGTGATCACAGTGGTGATATGTAACCAAAATCATGACTGTGATGCAAAAGAATCCACACCTTTCTGATACCTTATTTAGGATTCTGCTGTGTCATATTTAACGTTTAGATGGTTTTGGCTGGGAGGGCACCTATCTCCCAAGGACCAGATGTTGGCATTTTGAAACCCCTAGTTTTCGCAACACCATGCTTCCTCTAATGCATGTCCAGCCTTCTGACTGTGTCCACCAGCAGCTAAGTTCTGGAGGGACACAGTGAGCTACTTCAGGTCATACAAACTACTTTATAACTGAAAGGCTCCTGTGCTTGGCTAAATAGTTCAGTTCTTCTTTTTCTTTGACTGGTTTGTTTTCCTTGATTGAGAGATTCGTCCAGCTGTTTCACATTAACATTAGTGACATTTGCATGATTGTAGCAGGCTGACCACTCAGCACCCAGCAAGTGCTTAAGTGAAATCCAGGTCCTTTTTAATTGAAATGATTGAATTGGTCATTTAGAAGTTGTGTTGTAGCTCATAGTGTCCCTCATGACATAGATTAGGTGGTCACCCTACCAGTGACTTTAGGGTGTGCAAATGCAAGAAATGGCCCTCTTCACAAACAATGGAGACTGCGTAACTACACTATTGTGCTCTATGTTTTATTGATTACTGCAATACTCTCCAGGTGCTTGTTAATGTTAGTGTCAGATTGGCAGTGTTCAGTGCCTCTCTGTTATAGAGCTGCTCATTTTTGTGATAATAGGGGAAATTACTGTCATTCTAGCTGACCTGATTGTTTATTTTTGCACCACACTTTGTTAATTTTATGCAGATCAACTCCTTGTGTTTCCTTCTTCATAACAGACAGTAAACAAAAAAAATCACAATACTGCTTCCATAACATTGTAAGATACTATGTATAAAAATAGGGCAGGGTCTAGCAGATGTACTTACAGGAAGGTGATTGCGCATTTGCTATATCCTGTTTTTTTTTTCTTACTTTTATACCAGTAGTCTGCCAAATGTTAGATCTTTACAATAATCAGCTCCTTTCTCCTCAGGTTGAGGTGAGGGGTGGTCCCTGAGCTTTCAGGTTTTGTTTATTAACAGTATACTGAAATTCCTGTACTTTGAATTTTTTGTGTCCAGTCTAAAATCCACAGGATGGGCTTTCTGCAGGTGTTCTGAATTGTGAACAGCCCATTCCAGATACTGCACCATAGTAAAATTCTTTCAGTTTTGAAAACTGTATAGCAGTATTTACCAATCTGGTCTACGGGGATCAACAGTCAGTCCATATTTTTGCTCCCTGCCAGGCAGTCCACATTTTTGCTCCCTCCGAGTTCCTGGGTCCTGGGAGAGAGCCAAAATGTGGACAGTCTGTGGGTCCCCGAGGACCGGTCTGGGTAACCCTGCTTTAGACTGTCTGAGCATCGGCTTCACGCCAGCTAAAGAAACCCCCGTCTTCTCAGGGCCTACGCTGCCAACAAAGAGTCCCACGCCACCCTGGTGTTCCACAACCTCTTGGGGGAGATTGATCAGCAGTACAGCCGGTTCCTGCAGGAGAGCAACGTCCTTTACCAGCACAACCTGAGGAGGATCAAGCAGCATCTGCAGAGCAAGTACCTAGAGAAGCCTATGGAGATTGCCCGCATTGTGGCCCGCTGCTTGTGGGAAGAGCAGCGCCTGCTGCAGACGGCCACCACGGCCTCCCAGGTACGAATCATGTTGACTGTCTTGTGAAAATGGGGTGTGTCAAGGTCTGAACTGGATGGGCAGGTTGGATCATTGAAACACCTGCCAGCCCTGCAGCATATGAAGCTGCTTAGCCGCAGGCCGGTCAAGGTGCCCATGCTAATTCCTGTCCACCGTTGAAGGCTTGTACATGAGAATATTAGTTATAAGAAAGTAATGTTTCCCTGCTGACTTCACTCTCAAAAAGCTCTTGCGAATATGCTCATGACCTTACGCACATGGCTCAGAAAATTGTGTATTGGTGAGTTGCAGTAGTGGCAATCAGATCTTCAGAGAAAACAGAGAATCTGAACGCTAGAGCACTAAAATACACATATCTAATGGGGAAAATAGGGTTAGGGCAGTTCTACTCCAAAACTTAGTAACTTAAGCCAAACAAAATGAATTAAATAAAAATGTTGATACCAGTGGCCAATAATTTAACTACATGCATTTTAAATAAGAAACAATAATAACACATTAATATTTATAGATTATAAGCATCTGAAATGGGTCTTATGAGTCTCACGAGAATTGCCTATTAACCGCTTCAACCAAACTCGCTAATTAGTTGATTGCCGAGATTTGGGAGTTACTGAGCCACAGCCACCATGCAGCCAGCCATGCACAGGGTACAAGTACAAAAGAATTGCGATATGCGGAGGGGCCCAATGCAGCCAGCCATGCACAGGGCACAAGTACAAAGGATTGCGATATGTGGAGGGGCCCTATGCAGCCAGCCATGCACAGGGCACAAATACAAAGGATTGCGGTATGCGGCGGGGCCCCATGCGGCCGGGCATGCACAGGGCACAAATACAAAGGATTACGGAGGGGTAATGAAGGCATGACTACAGAGAGTCTAAGATATGGAAATGTAAGTGAATTAAAAAAGGTTGCTGTGTGTTTTATATGGTAATTATATGTTATATGGTAATGAAAGGAATGAGTTCAAAAGAAAGATTAATTTACACTATACTGCGTTAAACTGGTTTGGACTTGTATTGATTTATCAGTCTGTAGAACAGATTCGCAGTGTGATATAACATGTTGTAGCAAGACTGACTAATACTTTACAAGCTCTTTGCTTATAGGCTTCCAATGAAAAAGAAATGCATGCTAGCCAAATAATCATCTGTACTTTTGTGCTTGTCAAAGTACCTACTAGTGTTATGTTTTAATGTCATTTGCTTTGGCTGATTGCAACTAAACAAGGCCGTGATGCTGTATGACTGGGGCACGTGACTCCACAGCCCTCTGTTACCTAGAAACAGGTTATCATAATCAGTGCAGCAAAACATTAGGCTTGCATTATGAACGCCCTGCAACCAGAGCTTGATGCTGCAAATTTTCACCTTTTAATGCATGCAGTCTTGTCCATTAGTAAGGGGTTGTGTGAACTCGTTTTATGGGCTGTATGTTGGAGTAAGATAAATGTTAAAATTGAGTTATCTGTGCCTTTTTTTTTCTTTTTTTTAATAAGGTTGATCCTTGACCTTTCCAGCTTCATATTTGCATCTCCCCTTTTTAGGATGGACAGGCTGCCCACCCCACAGGAACAGTTGTGACCGAGAAGCAGCAGATGCTTGAGCACAGCCTACAGGATGTCAGGAAGAGGGTACAGGTGAGAAGCAGTGGCAGGGTGGGAGATCCACACAAGTGCTGTAGCAACATGGGAACCAGAAGGAGTCGTTTTCCCCAGTGGGATCTGCTTAGCGTCTTTGGCACTTTCCTGGTTATTACTGCTAGCGCTTTTTCGGATGCTGGTAGGTGTTTACACAATGGTATCCAACCGGTCTGTTTTGTTCTGGCTCAGGATATGGAGCAGAAGATGAAGATGCTAGAAAACCTGCAGGATGACTTTGACTTTAACTACAAAACCTTGAAAAGCCAAGGAGGTGGGTCAGCAGTTACGGGGGTCATTTTTGATCTGCTTCTTATGCAGGAATCTACCTGTGTCTCCATAGGAATAAACTCAGCTAGGGGCCCTGATGATTATGGCCAAAAGGTGCATAATTTGAATGATGAGGTGCAGTTCACTGCAGCCACTGCCCTTGATGAGAACCCTTACCATCCTCACTACTTCTTGCAGAACTGTCACAGGACTTGAACGGCAACAGCCAGGCCGCAGCCACCCGCCAGAAAATGGCCCAGCTGGAGCAGATGCTCACAGCCCTGGACCAGCTCAGAAGGGTAGGTCTGCAGAACCGACTGTTGCGTTGGCTTTAGCTACAAGCCATTGGTGAACATGAAAGGCAACTACTAATCATAATGTGTATGTTCGGAGGCAGGTATTTTGAACTAGACATTTAACAAGTGTCTAAAAGTAAAAAAAAAAATCTATGTTTTTTTTGCATAACTGGATTCTCTGATACTCAAAACAGTGTGTAAAGGAAGCTTTTGATTAGTAGAAATAAAAACTCTTCTCTCCGGAATGAGAGGGGCGGGCATGTTAAACACTGACGAATCTCATCCTTGGCAGCAAATTGTGACAGAGATGGCAGGGCTGCTGTCGGCGATGGAATTTGTGCAGAAGAACCTGACGGAGGAGCTGGCCGAGTGGAAAAGAAGGCAACAGATTGCCTCGATTGGAGGAACCCCCAATATCTGCCTGGATCGTCTGGAGAACTGGTAGGTCAGCTCTCCTTCCCCTGCTACTTCATCATATATTACATTTCACCGTGTTTTTGGGAACAGTGAGGTGTGCTGTGTCATACTCGGTTCAGGACACTCCACATTTGTTAACTTAATGTTTGCTAGCCCAATTTTAGTTAGCTTTAATTTGCTTTACTCATGGCTACTCTCGCCATTTGCCGTGTTCTGAGAAACTGTGGTCCGTGCCTGTTACTCGGCACCTCTGTCGACCCTCAAGGTTTACATCCTCGGCCGAGTCCCAACTGCAGATCCGACAGCAGATCAAGAAGCTGGAGGAGCTGCAGCAGAAAGTGTCCTACAAGGGAGACCCTATTATCCAGCATCGGCCAGCTCTGGAAGAGAAGATTGTGGACCTCTTCCGAAACCTCATGAAGAGGTACACGTCATACCAACGTCACAGACTTGAAAGTCAAAGCAACTTGAGACCCAAACCTACGCAGTTTGTCACCATGCTGTGTAGACACTTGTTTCCGTTCCATCTTTAAATACAGATAGGAAGACTAAATATGATCAGTTGCCATGAAAACACTGATGATGTGAATGACGTGACATTTTCTCTCCTGACTTTGCAGTGCGTTTGTGGTGGAGCGTCAGCCTTGTATGCCCATGCATCCAGACCGGCCTTTGGTCATCAAAACCGGTGTTCAGTTCACCACCAAAGTGAGGCAAGTGACGCACTGTGATCTGTCCTGGTCAGCATCAGCATGAGCCCTGCTGCCCGTTTAAGACGAACATTAAGGTTACGATGTTTTAATGCGCATGTGTTATTCTGTGTATTCCAGGCTACTGGTGAAATTTCCGGAGTTGAATTACCAGCTAAAAATCAAAGTCTGCATTGACAAGTGGGTTCCGGGTCCAGCGTCATTGTTCTTCTTTATGAATCATTTTTTTCTTGCTTATATAATTGTTATTATATATTTGTGTGCACCTACTAGCTCTTTTCTGCATTGGACAGTGGCACTTCAGTTTTCTTCTGTTCAGTCATAATAGTGTAGGTTATTAAAAGCCCCTTTTTACAGTTCCACTGCAGAATTGACCTTTTTGGCTTTTTTTTTCCAGAGAATCGGGGGATGTTGCTGCTCTGCGCGGGTGAGTGATGGTTTCCTGTGTTTAATTCTGTGATCTGCAAAGCCTCTGCTGTTCAGTGGCGGCACAGGTCACTGCTTTGATGATCATTCTGGGTTCTCTGGCCTTCTAGGTCACGAAAGTTCAACATACTGGGTACTAACACGAAAGTGATGAACATGGAGGAGTCCAACAATGGCAGTCTCTCTGCGGAGTTCAAGCACTTGGTGAGTCTTGGGGTGGATCTTCAGCTGTTGTGGATTTCTCTTTCTGTCATTGCATCACTGGTCTAAAAATGTTTGTGTCTTCTAGACTTTGAGGGAGCAGAGATGCGGGAATGGTGGAAGGACCAGCAGTGATGTGAGCATCTTCTATTTCTTACTGTTGAATAAGTCTGAACACGCAGAACCTCTTAGAAACTATTATTGCCAGAAATGCAGGATTGTGGCAGAGATTTGACAGTAGCCAAGCTCTTTATCTGTCCTTCAATGCTAACTTACTGCTGATGTTGAAGTAGTCTGCCTAATGGCTAATAGCGATATGTTTTGACCACTTAAGGTTAGGTCATACTTTTCCACATGCGCTTTCAGTCTACGGACCAAACACGAATACAAGCAATATAATGAAACTGGTAAACTTTTTGTGAACAGTTTTAAAGTTGTTAGTCTAGGTATGAGCAGTATTAAGGTAATACAGCATAACACAACATTCTCGAATCCCAAGTCCTTACGACAGAATTAGCCAGGACGCTCCCGCCCAGTGAATTTTATCACCATGATTTCAAAATATTGGAATGGTGTTGCATTTGAAAGTACCATATACCGTGGTATACGTTTGGACAGTATAAACTATCTTGTCAGTAAAAATTAAGTATGCGGATACCTCCACACCTCCTACAATAGTTCTTCTCCTACTTTTGTCTTGGTTGACCTTTGCTCTGTGAAAGTCACTACCACCTACAGCAAACATCTAGTCACTTTCCTTGCACATGTGCAGAAGATGCACACTGATGTGCATGATTTCCACTGGACAAAAAAATCTGGGCTACACATGCACCATCCAGCGCAAACCCTTGATAATAAAATTTACGTTGTCCTGTGAACAGACTGAAAGCTCATGCAGAAAAGTGAAGTGTGAATTGGCCTTTACTTTGCTGATCTTCCTCTCCCCACCCAGGCCTCTTTGATTGTGACAGAGGAACTCCACCTTATAACTTTTGAAACTGAGGTCTACCACCAAGGGCTGAAGATTGACTTAGAGGTGAGATTCTCCTGAGTTCTATTTTTCTTGTTGGGCTTCCTTAGAAACACATTATGACTTGTCATGCTATATGAATAGGTAGAGGTGGGAAAAAATATTGATTTTATAATTAATCGCGATACTGGTTTTGACAATTCAATGTTGATACACAAGATCCCAAGCTTCAATCCTGTTCATTTATGCCTTTTCCTTGTCACTAAAAGTACTTTTGCTGAATTTTACTTTTATCAGTCCGCTTATAAAGGTGGCACTATTTTCTCTCTCGGCTATAGGAAGGTTATAATAGTATAGTGCAGACACCTCAGTCCGCCATCTTGGTGCATTGTCAGCCATGGTAATGGAATATTCCAAGCTTGTGAATGTAAGCAAGTCAAGTCAAGTAGGGCTTTATTCTCACCAGACATTCAGTACACTTGCATGTAGTGGAGCAAAAAAAATGCTATGTAAAATGTTATATAAAAGCAAAATAAATAAAATGAAATAAAAGCAAATGATATGTAGAGAAAATGAATTATTGGATATGTATTTTTACATTTTTAATACTTTACATTCTTCTTTGCTTATTTAGCTAACTTAATCTTGTTTATCTTTATTTATTGGGAAATTTCGCAATTTGAGTCTCACTGTACCCTGTTACAGTGACAAATGCATTCTAATTCGATTTCTAATGTTACTCATGTACATTGAAAGCAAAACAGCTCTTAGTCATACATTGAAAGCCACACATTGTCAGCTATGAGTGTATTGTTAATTATCTGGTTTTTCTAATGTTGTGGGTTGAAAATTTGGAGATTTAATTTATTTTGCTAGCTGAGTGCAAGAACTGCTGAGGGAAAAGCATGGACAAAATATTTCAGTGTATTCACGGGTCAGTTTAAGTAGAAATTTCATGCTTATTCATTTATTATACATTGTTTATTGTCTTATTTTCTTCATGTAATAGTAACTTAATTACAGTGGTCTATGTTGCAATTTAAAGCCACAGTGCTATGCCTTTAATTACAAGAAATCTGGTTTGATTGCACGAAAGTGAATGTGTGTGAAAGGTATATTGAGTTGAATCAAAACTGGATCAAATTGTGATGTCAGGGTCCATTCCCAGCCCTTCTGATAAGCAGTGCAGGTAAATGAGTGGCTCTGGTTTCACGCCATGTTGTGTTTCCCCCTCTAACGGTTTCTCTGCTGTGACATAAAGAGTGGTTAGTTTCCGGGTGAAAAGCTGAGAAGTTAATGAACGGCTTATTAAGCATTGTTCTGTCATGAATGAATAAGCTTTTGCTCCATGACTTCAAGGCAGTTTTCACAGGAGAAATAGGCTTTGCTTTGTTTTATGTGAGTGCCACTAGAGCAGTTATCTTTCCTGTGCAGACGCATTCCCTCCCAGTCGTCGTGATCTCCAACATCTGTCAGATGCCGAATGCCTGGGCCTCAATCCTGTGGTACAACATGCTCACCAACCACCCGAAGGTAAGGCAAGACCTTCACTTGGCCGGTCTTTCCCTTTCCAGTCTGTCAGTTAAGGGCAATATGTAAATTTAATCCTAACGCATCGTTGTGGTTTCCCCTGGAGTGCAGAGCACTGAATCGATAACGATGGCATTAATTTTTGATGGAGTCCTGCTGTGCTAAACATCCTCCTATCATAATGGCACTAGTCAGGCAAACCTGCAGAGCTGTGAGCGGCGGTGCCTCCTGGCCCTTCTGGTGATTGCATTTTAACCCTCCCAGAATGTGAACTTCTTCACCAAACCGCCGGTGGCCACATGGGACCAGGTGGCTGAAGTTCTGAGCTGGCAGTTCTCCTCGACCACCAAGCGAGGCCTCAACATCGAGCAGCTCACCACCCTGGCAGAGAAACTCTTGGGTAGGATGAGTCTAAGCCTTGGGCATGGAAGTGGTTTAGCGTTTGTGGTAGAGAGAACGCAAACATAACTTGCTGCTGACCTATTTTTAGGTCACGGAATTAACAGGCATGTTATTTTTATCTTGATCTTTTGTAAATGTGTGCAAAATGTTATGCCAGTGCAGGGGCGTCAAGCATTTTGAATGTGGGGGTGCACACTGGAATAAAACTAATACTTTATGTTAAATGTGGGGGGGTCCAAAAAGATAATTATGAAATGTGAGGGGGACACGTCCCCCCCAGATTTAATGGCGGGGACACCCATCTGCCTGTGGGTGAATAGAGGTCATATGTATTTTTAATAAAGGGTATTTCCTGGTGCCAGATGATTTATGAATAATAAATGCTTAGTCTACACAAACACACAGATGCGTTCATTTACAAACGGATAAGTAAGGGTGAAACGAGGGGAATGTGGCTGGGTGGAGGTCAAGGAAGAAGGAACTTAGTTCTTTTGTCATGAGACCTTACATCAGGCTTGTTGTGCCTGTTTGACTGGTGTATGGGGCTGAAATTCAGGGAATTGTTCTATCATGCTTTAACATTTTTTTATCACTTTTTATTGCCACTGCAAGCCACTAGAACATTGTTTCAGAGATAGAAAACAGTAGCAGGGTATTTTTTTTTTTTTAACATTATCTCTTAATTGCTTATATAATGTAAATACCTGCGACTGGCATCAGCTGGTTTTGCAGGGGCAAGTGCATAGCTGATTGAAGGGTCCCTAAAATTTTCCAGTGGAATACTGGAGTCACACAACGTATCAGTCCTCCAGCTACTTTTCTCAGTCTACATTACACTTTGCCTGTTCTCACAGATGCTTATCATGCAACATTTTTTCCTAAATCTTCATCTTCATCTGTGTGATCTTAATGCCTACATCTTTATTTTATGCAGGGCCATGTGTGAACTACTCGGGGTGCCAGATAACCTGGGCAAAGTTCTGCAAAGTGAGTTCTTCCTCCTCATCGCTGACCGACTGTTGAAAAACCATCCTATGAAATGACTTTGCCCCCACGCTGCTCTGATATACATTTCACCTTTTAAAAACGTTTCAGGAAAACATGGCTGGCAAAGGCTTCTCCTTCTGGGTCTGGCTGGACAACATCATTGACTTGGTGAAGAAGTACATCCTGGTATTGTGGAATGAAGGGTGAGGCAATCATTCACCTGTCTGTCCAGACTAGAGATGATAAACTACAGGCTTCAGTGGCCTGACGGAACTCTGGCTTTCATTTCCACTTAGGTCTCAATTAGCCATCATTGGCTTTTGGCTGAACTATCTTCAGCATAAGACAGATTATCATTCTTAAGTCTCATAATACCTAGTGTTAAACACCTGGTGTGACTGTTTTGGATAATATTGTCCCGCTGTCTTATTCTAAACGAAATGAAAAGTCACCGTAATTAAAAGATCTAATAATTTTGTGTTGTTTTGAAGATAAGAATAGTTATGGATAATTTAAAAATAACATTTTATGATTGATAAAGGGAATTCAGTTAATCATAGGTTTGGCTGAACAATCATTTAAAATGTGCGGGTTTAAATAACACTTTTGTTTTTCTCTGATTTGGATCGCTCAGTTAGTTCAGGCAGCAGCACACGCACAGCAAATTAATTATTTAAGCAGACTGAAATGTAAGCCTGCGTTTGCTTTTGGCCTCCATGGCCTGATACCGCTGAGCCTTGATCTAGACTGATTTCTGAGGGTAAATCAAATCTCTATATTGTACAGCGGAAGGCTGCTATTGTGATACGCAGGGTACCTCAGCTTCGGCAGGTGGATCGGGGATGTCACAGTGAGCTTCCTCCCGGGATGAGTGTGTGTGTGTGGTGCTGAGGCACATCGCCTCTTTGCTGCAGGTACATCATGGGCTTCATCAGCAAGGAGCGGGAGCGGGCCATCCTGAGCACCAAGCCCCCCGGCACCTTCCTGCTACGCTTCAGTGAGAGCAGCAAGGAAGGTGGCATCACCTTCACCTGGGTGGAGAAGGACATCAACGGTGAGCCCCGGAACAGGGTGCCTGGGGGCAGACGCAGCTCACGGCAGTGAATTAATACATTCTTGACACAGGCGGAACCTGAATTCACAAGTAGATGCTCAACATGGAAAGCATTATGCTACATTATGCTAATAGTGGCAGTGAACTTGTTATGGCTAATCCTGGTTAGTCAGTCGCAGTCAGCAGTTTGGGAACGTTTTGGTTTTCCAGTAAATTACAGCAACGCTGGAAAGAATGTGGTTGATGAAACCAGTTCCAACTATGGGCTCTGTTATACCGAACTTGGATATGTTGCTGGAAACTCATTTGAGGCGACGTCATCCGATTGGAGCAAGGCAGAAACAGACTCTGCAAGCCGGTCTTCCGTGGCATTTAAGGCACTTTTGCAGATCAAGTTTAAAAAAAAACAAAAAACAACTAAGGTTATAGGGGTGTTTGTCACTACAGATATGCAACCAAACTTGGTAGTGGAGGATTTAGTTTATTATGATTGATATTTTGTAGTCGTGTTTAAATTTTTATTTTTACATATTTATTTTTACAATATGCAACTAAGCATCCCTTAGGTTTTGCTGTTCTGACATGTCAACATCACACAAATGGGCTTTGGTTTAAAGGTGATCCTATCTGTGCCACACTGCCGTAGATGATAACCAGTGTTTAATAATACAGAGAGTACAGAGACCGGATGAGAAGCCACAGAAGATCAGATGTGCCACAGTGTGCACAACGTAACACGCAAACCTGCACCGTAAACAACCTAATACATCACTGGCATTGCAGTTTTAGCAATAAGTGATTTAAAAACACATTCTGCTTTTACTTGCTGTACTGAAATTACACCAAATTCTGAACCCAAAACGGGTTTGTTCTGATTCATGAATTTCCTGTGCCATTGCACACCTATTCCTAGGCCATTTTTAATAAAGGAGGTAAGGAGATGTGCTGATTACAGCACATTGTCACACCTACTACATGACAAACCACCTCAGGGATGAGAACCTGAGTGCAGTCATGTGGCGGCCGATACCTCAGCACCACACTAGTCCAAATGGACCAGTGTAAGTTTTTTTATAGTGGCTGGAGTCACAATCCTGCCACCAGCCCCCAAATTTCGCTGTAAGTCGGAGGACCTCCTTTTAGGGTTGGATTTAGATTAACATCATATCCAGGACAAAGTCATTGCAGGTTAAGGGCCTTGCTCAAGGGCCCAACAGAGTAGGATCATTCCGGGCATTCAAGGGACTCGAACCAGCAACCTTCCAATTGCTGGGATAGATCCCTAGCCTCAGAGCGTTTGGTTTGGCGTATGTGACGCGGGTTTGTTTATCATTTATTAAGCTGGGGGGGGGGGGTTCTCTGCTTGTAGAGAAGGTGCTTTAGAGAGCTGCTGGCTGACAGATAAAACAGCAATAAAAGCATTAACTGCTGAGTTGAAGTGTGCTCCTTATCAGACAGGCATTCTGTGCAATACGATCCTTTAAAATAAAAAATATTTATTCTTCATGGGAAACTATTACTCAAATTGGTATTCAAGTGTACAGTATTGTGCAGAAGTCTTCCACTTAAGTACAGTCAAAGAAAATGATTAATGCTATTTATCTGGGTAGTTTTGATCAGAAAAAAAACACAATTTAACATTAGAACATAAGCAAATGAACAGTAACACAATAAAAAAACTGGAGTGATTTTAGGCGAGGTTTTGAAATGGCTATACAGTACCCGTTCTTAATAAAATGCTTCTATCTTGCCTTGGCCTGCAGGAAAGACTCAGATTCAGTCTGTGGAGCCGTACACCAAACAGCAGCTCAACAGCATGTCCTTCGCCGAGATCATCATGGGCTACAAGATCATGGATGCCACCAGCATCCTGGTTTCCCCACTCGTCTACCTCTACCCAGAGATCCCTAAGGAAGAGGCATTTGGGAAGTACTGCAGAACCGAGGCCGCTGAGTCTGACCCGACTGACCCAGGTAGTCGTTGATTTTCCTGCTTGCCGCAGTGATTTACCCTTGGGGACTATTTGGGTTTGGCTGCAAGTACAGGTCTGTTGAATTTTTTCATGGGATGAATGAAAATGTGGATACAATGAATCACATCTTCTTGCTGATAAGGTTTTACAATATAGGGAGCTTAATCATGTATGGAATAAAATTAAAGAATGACATACATCCTGTTTTACCTATAATAATTGTCATCTCTTTGCAATTTTAATCATGTCTTTCTGTTGAGCTACACTTTGTAATGTTACTTCTCAGTATCATGGGTCATTTTAATGCCAGCTGAATGTGCATAATAGGGGTGTCTGTTTAGTTGAATATTTGCCCAAGAGAACCAAGCTGCTGTATACAGTAGATGTCTGATTTGGCTTTCTGTGCCAAAGCAAGAACTCATTCTTAGCTGAAACGGGATGTATTTTTGCTTAATAGGTGCTGTACCATACCTGAAAACAAAGTTCATCTGCGTCACCCCGTAAGTATGCTGTGACTTCACTGGTGGTGTCTTCTGCGTAAAGTAGTTTTCAGGGAAAGCCTCTTTTGAAGATGAGTGAATCTACTGATTAGGTGCCTCAAACAACCACAGGGGAAAGATGAGAACTAGTTGGCTGATCTCCTTCACCGGGGATCCGGTGCTGCTTGTTATGGTTGTCTTTACTGGTAAAACCTCGAAGACAGGACAGTGTGATATGCAAAGTTTTATCTCACTGTGGTTTTCTCTGGTTGCCTCTGCAAACCAAAATTTAAATGCATCAAGGGCACCTGCTAGCAGCTAGTTAATCTGCAGCCTCTGGGATCGTGTTCTCTCTCTCTCTCTCTCTCTCTCTCTCTCTGTCTCTCTCTCTCTCTCTCTCTCTCTCTCTCTCTCTCTCTGTCTC